TCAGTGGAAAATTAGTCTTCATACCAAAAATGACTTGTCTGGATTGAAATCAATTAACATTCATTTAGTAACATATTGTCACTTGATGGTTTGAAATACTATATATGCAATCAAATCAGTGCTTCGTTTAGGAATATTGGAACTTCAAACTTCTTTTAAAAAAAGCCTTATTCGGAAAATATGCTGTTTCACTTATCTACTAGTCATAAACGTTTATATTAAAGTTGGACTTTCAAATTATCCTTATTTATTTTATCATTGAACTTATAAATTATTTTACTATATCTGATGTATTTTTTAAAAAAATATAAATCTTCACGAAAAAAAAATTCGTGAAAAAGACTTTAAATATTTAAAGAAAACCTGTTGTTTTAATAAAATATACAATATTACTTAGAGGGCTACAACTCGGATTAACCGAATTAATACTGGATTTATATATAAAAGGTTTTGATTGTACGATCTTTTCTCTTTTATTTTTAGTTTGAAATTTATTTTCCAATATAATATTAACTTGATGTTCATCTTAATGCGAATCAATAGCCATCATACCATCATATGTTGGTTGCAAAGATTATTACGTAAAGATTCCTTTTCTGCATAGACTAAACAAGAATCTAATTTCCCTGAATCATCTCTCGACAGCCAAGTAATGGCTCTGTCACAGTAGTAATAGTAGCAGTAGTGGAAGTATCTTCGCTGTATATAAAATCTTCTTTCGCCTTCTTTTTTTTTCTTGTTATTGAGATACTGTCCAGGACGAGTCTTCCCACGTTGTCAAACATCAGGACGAGTCTTCACACGTTGCCAAACATTAGGATGATGACTAAAGAAGTGAGATATTGTAATATGTCGAAAATTTATTTTTTCGTTTGTGATTTAATTAATTATGAATACAATAATATTGACGACATTAAACGGCGTCTAAGCGATATTCGAAAAAAAATTTTCGGGCTTTCTGATTATACGATCGGTTTGGTTAAATACGAGAATATTTAAATTCCGTGACGATAATCGACGAATGTTAACCACCGGGGTCAACACATTTACTAAAATTTTGACTGGGGTAGTAAATTTGTGGCAGTGATTTGTATTGTCGCTCGGCAAATCGGCGAGTCTGTCGCTAATTCTTTCCAATTCTCGTGTAACCTACGGCGGCTAAGTCGAAATAGGCGCGTTAGATTTGGCTAGTGGTTTATCCGTAGGTAAGTACTACTCTTCTATTCTAAGTCTTTCCTTCAACCTATTCTTCTTTAACCCTTGCTTTCTCTTATCTTCCTCCTACTTCCTTAACCTGGGTTACGATACGTCGAACCGGGTGGAGTTCTTCTCTTGCGTTAACGGCTTGGTCACGTGACTTACGGCGAACGATCAAAATGCGGTTTTAGTGATTGATAAATGGGCGAACGATAGTTATGACGATGGTTTTAACGATAGTTTTAGTTTGGGTTAGGTTATAGTTTACTTTTTAATACGGGTCCGATACTTAAGTTTATTATGCAAAAAATGTATTTACTCGGGGTATCGCTTGTACTTCTTCCCCTTGGGCGGAACGCCCTTTATTTATAATAAAAGTTTTATTTACAATTGAGGTTAATTTCCTCTATATTATCTATTTACGCTATATCGTCATTAACACTCCTTTCCCTCCTATCTTAACGAACAGCCGAATGTGCTATATGCCGTCGATCTACCCGAAGTAATAAAAGTAATAAATGCCGCAAAAGTAATAAAAGTAAGAAAAGTAAGATTTCTCTTACTTTTCACGTGACTAATTACTCGGGTAGGCGACGCAAAAGTATCGTTTTTGATAGATAGGCGCAGATCATACCCATAAATTTCTTCTTTATTCTCAAAAACATCCTCTTTTTCTGAAGGCCTGACCTTGATGCTTTGATCTCCTAATTCAATAGGATAGAATCCAAATGTTTGCCTCAAGGAATTAATATTTTTTATACATTCTTCTGCAATAAGTCTTCTTTCAAGTTCTCTTTCTTGTACTATCTTTACGATGTTATCTATCAATCGAAGTTTTGTTTCATCATCTTCGTTGAATAGTTTATAAATTCTCATATAATATTCGTAACATTACTCTTTTCATTAAGAAGCCATTCTTTATATGCCTCAGTCATATCATCATAAAATTTGCTCTTTAAAATCAAAACAGAAATGACTTCTCTTTCCGAATCTTCAGCAATTACGAAATTATTCTTAGACATGGTTACTGAATTAAAATTTCAAATAGTAACAAACATATTCTTTATATATAAAACCAAGCATATAATAATAGCATAATCTCAAATCATGTTTACTTTCCATATTAACCAGATTCCTAATCAGTAAAACTTGCTCACTGATTAAGTTAGATTAGCTAATTAGCTATACTAAAAAATATTCAGTGAAATTCAATTAACTAATTTTTAATATTTATTTATTAATGTAAACTTGTAGATCTATGTATTTCTTAGTTGTTAAATAAATAGTACTGTATGTACAGCATATTGCAGATCTTGATTTTTTATTGTCTCATGCTAAGAGTTTAATACTGGTTAAAAATACTGTATATATATGCTATATTTAAGCCAATTTATTTTAATATTTATAATATAATTAAACAAAATATCTTGAATCTTGTATTTTGAAAATATGGATCATTATGAGGTTTTAACAATATGAGCCAATTTATGAACAATAGCGATAGAGTTAATAAATGTGTTTAAAACACCCGATTTTTCTAATAATTTTAAACATCACTTGTTACGATACAAAAAACTTTGCTTTCACACCAAAATATCTTGATAACATGCAGTTTCCCTCAAGTTTTGTCTTTCCACCTGAAGCCATCGCACAAATCCTCGCAAATCTAAACCCAGATAAAATGTCTATTTATTTATTTATTTATTTTTGTTGGAAAACGAAATGCGCTCAACTACTATGGTTTACGCAGCAGATATTTATAATAATCAAAGAAAGTGTAGAATGAATTTTATAAAGTTTATATACTTTCGGTTCAAATAATGTTATGACAGCATCTTTTTTTTAAAGTCAAAGCTAATTTATTTTTTACCTTTTTTTAAAATTTATACATGCTCATCACTAGATATATCTTTAACTAGCCTATAAATCGCTTCTTTAGAAATGTCAACAAACATACTTTCAGACATATTTTTTTATGACAACACGCAAGCAGTTCAAGAAACACAATTACTTTCGTCTGCATCTTTATCACAACTTTTTACGGATGAATTATATGAATTAGACATTCCCAAATTTTTTCAATATAGCAAAGAAAAATACGAAAGTCAAAAAAGTAAATGTGGCTGGCAGAGAAATTCATCACATGATAAGCATTTCGATAATTTCTCTTTAGATGGAGACGATATTGATGATACAAGCAGGTACGTGCAATGTGCTAAAACAAATTTATAATTTTATATCTCAGAAAAAATGAACAAAAAATTGATTTTATCATTAATCACAGTATACATACCGAATTCAAATGTCAAATACACATTCAATCAGAGCAAAAATGACGTGCAGAAATCAAAGAAAGTTTTGAAGAACTTCGTAAACAGCTTTCGATCACTTATACAGGCCGCAAGATGAGTAAAGCTGTTTTACTGCAGAAAGGTGATCACAGTTTTTATTTATATTGATATCATTTAACAATGAAACATATAATTTGCAGAACTCATCACAATTATTGTCAATTTTTGTGTAAAGCTATCTTGCAACTTAAGAATCAGTCAAGAAAGGAGTCTTTTCTTCTCAATGAAATCAATCGTTTGACTTAAACTTGTGTCTATTTGGGTGAAGAATTGGAAAAAGAGAAAATGTAAAATTATTTTTTTGTAAACTAGAATGTGTCATTAATATCTATTTAATTAATTTATTTAATTTATTTAATTCTTAATAGAATGAATGCATTAGATAGACAAAAGCGAACTCTTGATAAAATATATGCGGCTGGATTATAAGCAATTTATTGGCACTTTTAGAATTAACCATCCTTTGTTGTCTTGTTCATCATTGTGTATTTTGTTCATTCCTACGACTATTTTTTTTTTTTTACAATTAACAATTTTCATATTCACTTTTTTTTTGTAAATATATGTTGTTTTTTATTTTTGGTTTTTCTTCTTTTCCTACCGGATTGGCGAGAATACAACTC